AATGATATTATCATCAGTGTTTCCACTTTAATGAAAAAAGGGAAACAATTTTTATCAACCAAAGCCTAATCTGAGCACAGTATAATCCATTTTTTTAACAATATAAGTAAAGCAGACATAACACAATTAGTCAGGTATTATTTTGTATATATTTTAGCAAAAGTTATTTTAAAGTTCGTTCTAAGAGAAAAAAAGGAAAAATCTGACTGAAAGAAAGGGGAATTAAAAAAAAAAAAAAAATGGTGCAACTGATTATGTTGTTCTTTAACTCTACAATTAGTAATTGTAATTATTTTAGAGATATTTGTATTCAATTTGGTAATTTATTTCTTACTGCAGTTCGATTAAGGTTAGTTGGTAACCCGAGGATTAACCAGCCAAAAGATGAAACTTTATTTTCTAATCCTCAAATATGGTTACAAAAGTATTTACGAATATATACATTTATTAGTATATTACAATATTATCTTGTAATATAAAATATATTTCTAAATAATTAGTTGGTAATATCAAAGAGTTGGGAATAAACAAAATTTTAATTTTAATTAAGGAACCCATGAATTTTCCCATGGGATGTCAACTATGGTAGTTCAACTTTTCTTATGAAAATTGTTTTCAAAATGGGAGGATCAACTTATATCTGGGATTGACCTTCATTTGAGCAAATACGGATATTTTTATTTTCATAACTCCGATATTTGATACTAAGAATTAATCACAATTTAAGCAATACAAACCTGGCTAGTAAATAAGGCATCAAGTTCAAGTAAAATAAAAATATATGATTGGAAAACATAAAGAAGCTAGAGGTATGACTTCAAAACTTTTAATAAAAATATGTCTCTTGAGACCTGACGCCTGAAGAGCTAAATGGAATGATTGTGAGAAGCCTGCGTTCATAAGATGAACAATATACAGGAAGCAATCATTTCCTAAGCCTTTCCCAGACAATTATTGCATAATATCGATTTAGAGTAGTTAAAAAAAAAATTGTGAAATTAAAAAAAGAATAATACTATTCTAATTAATATGTCTTTTAAACAATTACTCACAAATACCAAAGAACAAATACCTCATATTTGAAATGGTTCATTTGGGAAAATGACCTTGCATATATTTCTCTTAACAAATGCAGGTAACTTATGCACAACATTAAACCGTAGCTAATTGCTAAATTAGTAGATTCACTAAAGGAGGGCAAACTCATACATTTATTCATTGGATGTTTAAAGAAATATTTATAAAAAAGTTGATAAATACTGAGATAAAAGTATGCTGACAATACCAGTCATAAAGAAATTTTAATACCAAGCGAATAACAAAAGTAACAAAAAATTGTTATTGTACAATAACCAAAAATCAAATTTTTAATCATTAAAAATCCTAAAATAGATGATTATTTCTTAATTTAAATCAAGAATAATTAGTGATACCAGGAAAATAAGACATATTTCCTAAAGTTAATAACAATATAACAAACAATTGTGGCTTTGGTAAAGGAAAAAGAAGTGTATAAAACACAATTTTTAAAAAAAGTCTAGAAATGTTTTATTTTTTGGAACATATAAAATTTTATTTAAAACATTTAAAAATCATTTCATAGTTTGTGTACACAAATAACAACAATTGATAAATAAAGAGAACAATTTTTAAAAAATCGATATTAATAAAAGTAGATTAAGAAAACAGATATTTTTATGAACTTAATATTAAGAAAATTGTTTTTGTTTTGCTCCTTTAGGTCTGTTTAACTTGTTTTACTCCCTTCCTCTCCATCAAGTTTTTATTCTTTAATTAAACTTTATTTTTATTAAAATAAAAAACAATTGTTTTTTATAATAAAAAAAGGGTTTATCGATTTGTTGGCATGTATACATTCAACAACAAAGGCATTGAATAAAGATGAATTTAACCCTAAAAAGAATATATGTAAAATTTAGGCTCGTGATAGTTATTTAGGAAAGTTAGAAGTATCGAGAAACTGAGATCTTCTCACCACTTCACTCTGTCCTGGAAGATCCGTTTTCTAGTTTCCTCGAGTTTGAATTGGGGTTCATTATCCACAAAATAATGAATTTAAAGTGGATCTGCAACTTTACTTTAAAATGTTACAAGATACATTTTTCTTTAAAAATTATCTTATAAACAACGTTATCTAAAACCATATCTTTTATAGACTTAAATTCTACATGCAGTAGTTAGTAATGGTCTAGGTTTTACTTCATTTAGTTTCTAGGGTTAATTTTATTTAAGGCTAATAGTATTCAGAAACCAATTAAATTCAAAATAATACTGAATTTCATCTATGTAAAAATACCTTATTTTTGTTTTTACAGATAATCAGTAATGGTTAATGCTTTACTCCACTTACTTGTCATGGGTTAGTTGAATTAATTCATTTAATAATTATATAACATATTTATAGTATAGAAATAAAATAAACATTTTCATTAAAATTAAGTCCTAAAAGATAAGGCAACAAAAAATTTAACAATCAATTACCTTATATCAAAATTTCCAGAACTTAGAATTAAATTGTAACTGCAAAACCACTTGAGCTGTTTTCAAATCAACAAAGGCATGGAAACTCTTGAGCTGGAAACCCAATGGGCGATGAACTGTTACTGATTCGACACAAACACAAACTCTCAGAGAAGAAATTTCAATACGACATGGGCAGCAGGCATCTTTTGAGGCTTTTGGCGATACTGATATATTATTTACAGTAAGATTTTATTTTTGATTTATTCCTATTTTTAGGTCACTCAACATTAGCATATCAAAATATTTGTAACGATCAATTAATTTTGGAATAAATATTGCACTATTACTAAACCCTTAAAAAAATCTTTGACAAATTGTATTAAATTACATTATAAAATTCACATATTTAGTTCAAATGATAACATTATTTCTATATTATTAAGCACAAATGTAAATGGTAGCAGTTGGATACTAAAGTGGTCTAAATCATTTTCGTAATAAATACTTAATTCATTATTGAGCGTATCAACTTCATGCTTCGACATAGTCGGAAGTAACCTGTTATTCCTTACCAAAAAATACCTACTACATATTCGACTATTATTATAAATACCTACTACATATTCGACTATTATTATAAATACCTACTACATATTCGACTATTATTATAAATACCTACTACATATTCGACTATTATTATAAATACCTACTACATATTCGACTATTATTATAAATACCTACTACATATTCGACTATTATTATAAATACCTACTATTATTCTACGCTAACCTTTATAGAACTTCACACCCCTAAAGTGTTGAATATCTTTATAACATCACTTTTCCATTTCAATGCCTCATATATAGAATTAGTTTGAAAATACTCTAACTGGAAAAGCCAAGATGATATAATGCGAATTTTATTAGTTTCCATAGAATTGATACTGGCCTAATTTTTAATGAACGGTCAATTCCGTACCTCAGAACAAAAAGGTCTGGTGTCCAAAAGTTTGAAACTTGAACAACCTGCATGAAAAGAGTAACAACAAGGTAGGTTATACATTGATCATTAAAGAGACAAATGTTCCCCCATTGTTAGCTATCGAGGCTAATCAACAATGGAAGGACAATGCCCCTTTTAACAATTAATGAACACCCTATTCTGATATCTTCCGTGTTCCTCATTTAGATTTCAAAGTTTTGGATAGAGGCCCTTTTTATTAAATAACACAGAATTGACTTTTGAAAAGAAAGATTTTATTTCACTCAGTTTGAATTGAGCTAGATTCCAAATAGCTATTGCTATTTTTTCTTATTTTTAACTAGCTTTACCCGGCCACGCGCTGCTGTGGCTTAGCCTGGCAAAATGAAAAAGAAAGAAAATAGAAAGCACATATGAGTAGATTAATAGCAAAGGACATCTGTCATTTTTAAAAAGTTGAGAAACAAATTTGTCTGTAAAATGGCTCCAATTTAAACTAATTCAATTGATTCTTTTTCTCATGATTCAAATTGAACATTCATAATCATCAGAAACAGTCTGAGTTGAACTTATAAAACTAAAATAAAAAATTAATATAAAGAACGTATAAGAGTATTGACCTACATAAGGAGAATCATATAACTTCTTCAAATGATAATTTCAATTACTGTAATATTGTAAAATTATTGATTAATCAATAAATAAAATAAAAAAATGCTTGCCTACCTTCGGTAGTGAGGAAGCAAAAGGAAACGGCCTTTTCTGAAGAGAAAGTATTAAATCTTTAAAACTCTATAACTCTGCAACGAACCGTCCAATTTCGATGTTGTTGTTTTTTTTTTATTTTGTCGGCAAACAAGAATCTTTCAAATAAATGTGGGTATTATCGGTAAAAAATTCTGTACTTTTTTAGTTATCGGCAAATAGAATATTGAATTCATCGTAACATTTTTCAGCTTGTTTTCGGGAAAGTATATTATACACATAAATGAAAAGGGTTTCAAGGGGAAGACTTTAACCAAGTTTCGTTAAAACCAGTAAAGCCGTTTTGGCGCTACAGCTTATAGCGACACATTTTTCAGCGGCTTTGAACAGAAAAACATTTACATTTTTATTTTATTTACATATATAAAATTATCATAAAACAGAAGTAATATGCCAGAAACCTTCCCAGGAGTGTACGGAACAACTTCCCAAAGTTTCATGGCGATTGGATGACTGGTTTAGTAATGCACCAAGGACAAACAGACGGACAGACAGACATACATTCATTTTTATATATATAGATTTAACTATTTTCATATCATAATAATTCATTGCTAATTTATGATTGATATTAATGATTAATAAACATTAATCATAACTATTATTATTAATAATTAATAATAACTATTATAATTACCTCATTAATATACAAATAAAACCATAGTAATTAGAAAGATTCATCATACCACAGAGTTTTACAGCCAATCATCAATCTAGTTTTCTTTAATAATAATCATATTTAAACATTAAAATAAAAACAAAACACTTACTTCGTAACATGGACGAAAGGATAAGGTCTAGGGCAGGTGACTCCTACGGCTGTAAGAAAATAAAGAAACAAAATTACAGTTTTGAGTAAACTATGCACTCAAAGTACGAAAGTATACGAATACGAAAGTAAACAAAACATTCTAGAATTTTATAACAAATGATAAAATATTGTATAAGAATTATTAGAATAAGCAACCTAATTATCATTATTATTACTAATAATATAAATTTGTTCATAGGCATGGAGCATAAATTCGAACAAATCAGATGGGAATCAAAATATTTCTTAAAATTAAATAAAAAGTTAAATCTATGTTATGCATCTTGCAAGCCAATGGTTTTTCTCCCATTCAACGGTACCCACTGTAAAGGCTGGGTGTGCCCTATAAGCAGTTTGGACCCCAGAACTAACCAATGGCTGACATAAGGAAATAAATAATTATTTGCCTTTATTAAGTTGTACTCGAATCCAGACTCCGGAAAACAGGAGTAAAGTGCCTTAGCTCTTAACTCATAATCTACTAGTACTGGTACTGGTACTGATGGAAAGAACTAGTCCTGCAAGCGTGTCTCATGGTTCTCTTCACCACACCCTTTCGGCACGGCTGCTTTGAGGTAGCCTTCATGTACTTACTAGAGTGTGAATGTCAAGATTCATTTCGCTAGACCGCTCAGAAATGAATATAACCGAATCCAGGTGGGAATCCAAATTGCAATGTTTGGGGCCCACACCACAACGTGATCTCCCATCTGTCCTCTGACTCATATCCTAACCTAAAACCTGTAGATTAAGGCAGATCGCTCACATTTTTTATATTATTGTAGTTTCTGCACCTTCGGTAGCTGAGGAAATAAAAGGAGTAATGGATTTATAAATACGAGACAGAAATAACAATTTATAAAGGAGGCAGAAAAAAAAATGGTGTTTTAGCATAAGTCAAACCACTAAGGGTTTTGGGTTCAGTAATACGCAAGGAAGTACTGTTTCTAGGCCACTTGAGAATTGGAGCACACGATTCTCATCTAATAGCACGACTGAATTGGGTACTAGCATTAATTTTTAATTTTTAAGAACACAAACACGAAAAGACTCAAATTTTTATGATACATATTTGCAAAGATAATTAGAGTTAAAGACAATTTTCACCACGTTAGAAACAAATTCTAGCCTATGCAGATGGTATAGATAATGATATCTATTAGAGAGGGACTTAGAAAAGACCTTCTTAGCTATAGAGGCAGCAGTACAGGTAATGGCTCTAAGTATTAACCAAGCTAGGAACAAATATATGATTCCCAACTCACCAAGGCCACCACCACCTACATTTAGAAGATACACATTTGAAAACATAAATAATTTTGTTTATCTAGGATCCTTAGTCTGTGCAGAAAATATTAGTTTGTCCAAACTTCCGCAAACATGTAAAATTACTTGCATCTGAATACTGTTTAATTTCAATCTACTGCACAATTGCAATAACAATCAACAGTTAATTAGTTTGTATTTTTTATTATTCTAAAACAGTCTAAGACCCATAAATTTGTAAATCTGTTATTATTCTTAGGGGACTGTAGTCCCAGCATAAAATAATTTTTATTTTTCAAAATATGCCAAGTCAAAAAGTACAGAGAAAAATCACGTCAGCTAATAGGTGTTATTTTGGCCTGGCTAAAATTTTAAGAAGTCATTTGCTAGCTAGATCCACTAAGATTGCTCTGAACAAATCTCTTATCAGAGACATGGCCATTATCACAAACAGACGTAAGCAAGTTTTCGAGAGAAAAATTCTAAGAAGGATGATTGGTCCTGTAAAATTTTATAACTAGTACAGGCCAAGTCATGATGTAGAGTTGTATCAAATTTACTGGAAACCGGATTGGTTCAATTTATACGGCTCCCTAGGCTAAGATGGGTTGGGCATATCGCAAGAATGGCTGGGAACTCAGCAATCAAGCGGCTACTGTTCCAATATGTGGATGGCAGAAGAAAGAGAAGACAGCCACGACTGAGATGGGCAGATTAGGTTGAAGCCGATGTAGAGAAGCTTCTGGACACTAGAGCTTGGCAGACCTTTGCACAAGACAAAGAGGAATGGAGACGACGCATTGATTTGGCGAAGACCTGTATCGGGTTGTAGTGCCTACGATGATGATGATGATTTGTCATTGAAGATTATTTTATAACAATACATACACAAAAAATCTTAAATTTTTATGATGCATATTTACAAAGATAATTAGATTATAATTAAAGAAAAGTGGTGGGGATGCAGCTACTAGCTACTAGAGTGGGGACGTTGCTATGCCATGGCGAGGAAGTGCCTAACTTTTAGTGTTGGATCTTTTATGTTTGGGCTTAGAATAGTGTTTTCCGCTTCAGAACCTTCATCCAAGAAATACTTTTTTTTTTTCAACCAGTTGTCTGGGTAAGAAATAGTATTTAGTTAAAAATGTGTTTTATTAGATTTTATAAATAAATAAAATAAGCTAGGAGCTGAGAAAGGTTTGGCAATATCGCATACACGTCACACTACGGTGGACAATATTACACCACACTTCTGAGGCACAATTTTATTCTAAGTATTTAGTGCTTTCAACTGTAGCTATGTGAGTAAGGCATGATCGCTGATCGACCCCCGCACACATTGGCAGCTCTGAACATTGCTTGTACATAAAATGAGAGTAAAGAAACATAACCATGTATAAATAGTCATTATTAAAAGTTCTTCAGCTAAACTAAATTTTAAAAAAAATATTTTTTTAGGTGTACTGACAACATAATTCCATTCAATTAGTTAATCAGCATTTCTCGTGAGAGTGAAAAACTGAGTGAGAATATTTTTGGATGAAATCTCAAGTAGTCCAGTGAGCTTGAATTGTTCAATCAAATAAATATTTAAACTGAATAACATTATTACCTTCTGCTCCTAAAGTGAATCCTTCAACTTCTGCGTCAGCAGCCTCTTGTTCAGGAGGAGGTTGTTCCACAGGAACAGCAGGTTCTTCAACTTTTCTGAAAAAGAAAGAAAAAATATATATAACATAAATATTAATAAAATCACTATCTAGAGAAATCCATTCATATTAGGAATTTACCAAGTTCGAGATAAAAAAAATAAATAAAAATAAAATAATAATAAGATATATGATTTCTGCTTTAAACAGAAACTCGATAGTTTGCTATCAAATCGTGCAGAAGAATGACAAATATTGACAAAGAATAAAATCATGACTTACTTTGGGGACATTTTTTTATCAATCAATAGTGGTCTACACCTAAATATTTTCATTAGATGTGTCTATTGTTTTTTTTTTAACTACAAAATACCAGGACTAGAAAGTAATTATCAATATTTTGTTTATTCGAATTGATTACATAGAGGAGATAAGATATGATTCGTCAGTGATATAGTAATATTGTACAAATGTTTAGTTCAAGGGAGGTTATTTAATCAGACCTCTAATAGCTTTCAAACAGGTAAAAAGTGAAAGTGAATAAAAATGAGGATAGAGAGAAAGATTAAAATATATTATAATTTAAATTAATGTTAAAAAGTCTAAAATATATGATAAATTCAAATAAAGTTGAATACATTTTTTATAAAAAATCGTTTAAATTAATAATAGCATTAACACTTTAATCATATCATTTTTTTTTTTTTTTATTCGATTCAATTAAAATACCACCATCAAATAAAACTGAAACAAAATTAAATAATTTCAGAAAAACTTATAAAACAGAAACTAGTGGCCATATTACACATGTAATATTTCAACATTATTAGGAGGTACATCCTGAAACATGTTTCAAGAGTTGGATGAACCTATGACATCTGTCAAACCATGTTCCCACTCCGATAAAGGCATATGATTGTTTGTCAAGTGAAAAATTTAGTGTAGCGAGTCAGAATATAAACCAGGTTGGTTTAGTATTAGCTACTAGCCTTCTTTGATCCCTTAATAAAACTTTTTTTTTTTTTTTTTTTTTTTTTTTTTTATTTCTTTATGACATTTACAACTGTATTACATAAATACATCAAGTAAATTTGAACATAATTGATATAATGACATGAATACACTTGCTGAGTAACTACCCAATGGTAGCACTCTAATGATATGACTACATTAGGAGATCACGGGTTAATAAAACTTAAATAAAATTAATCAAATAATCAGTAAACTGAAAACTATCTGACATTCTTGCTTGGAACATACACGCTCTCTCATAAATCCAAAAAGTAAAGAAGCTCATATTACTTAATTTTATATTTTAAATATAAAAATTGAGAATTTAAAGATTCTTTAATTGCCACAATGATGGTCATACTAATAATTCAGTTACATTTTGATACCATCAATTTAAAAACAGAGCAAGTAAAGGAGCCCTTAAGCAATCTATTTGACAAGTTTGAAGGGAAAATTTGATTGAAAGTTTAGGCCTTTGTTTGATTATGGGTTGAACATTCTTCTTGTTTGAAAGAAAACTGAATTGAATGTACATTTGACAAACACGTTTGAAGGTTCATAAGGACATTGGTCAAATAATTACTATTAGTCAACTGGTACTATTAGAGAGACATTATCCTCATAAATGTGATGGATTTTTTTGATGAATTTTTTAACTGGTACCTTTAGAATTTAAATTTAATATAAGGAAAATTGCATTGAAAGCGCTAAGTTGCAGCAGGAATACTGAGAAGAAATTATCATTTTGTATATTGGTGCTGCTTATTGATGTTACATTATTGTTCATTTAAATCATAATTATTTTATGGATCAATCGATTTTTTTTTTAATTTTGTAATATCTAATTTTCATTTCTGATTTTTTGTTGGTTATATTAATTTTATCTAAATTGGTATCATTAAACTTTAGTATAAATTTTGCATTTCATAATTAAAATTATGGTTTATGTTATTATTATTAGTTTCTTAGTATGATTAACACCATTTTAGTATTTTTACTGGTTTATTTTATCTTAAAAGCTGCTTCTGGTAAAAAAAAAAAAAAAAAAAAGAAGGTTCCATTACTTGAAAGAGAGAAGGTATGAAAATATAATCATTTTATTTATCTTTTATAAAAAAGGGTGTTAATTGTTAGTACATGAGGTGGAAAATATGATGTAAGACTAAAATGTTTAATTATATAGCAACTTTTGTAACATATTTAAAAATGAAAACATATTTTTAAAAATTCAATAATAAAACAATAAAGTTTCGAATTATTTCACTGTTGCAGAGTAGATAAGAAACTCCAGAGATGTGAGCGAGGTTAAGGGTTTACATAAATAATTTTGAAAATTAAAAACTAATCTGCTTAATCTTATACATTAATTTCATTTTTCATCATACCAAAAATTAAATTTTATAATCATATAGATTAGAATTGTGTTGCCAGGTATAATTTCTATAAAAATAAAATTAAAAAAAAAATAAAAGTTACTCGACTGTCTCCTCCAGTGGCAGTGAGTCAACCCATTGCTGGACTGGAGATTTGTTTCGAGGGACAATGTCTTCAGGAGAATGAAGTAGTTTCACTTCTTCCTTTCTTTCTCCATTCTATAATAGTTAAAAGAAATGAAGTGAATTCTTCTTAAACTGAACATAAGTATTTTAAACTACTTGGCCTATCTAAAAAAAATATAAGTTACCATTCTCATCAGTAAACGTTAGTGCAACTAAAAGGTTTAAAATTTCAACTTTTATAACATATTACTTATTGATTATTTAAAATAGTCAAAGTGTATTACATATAAGGAACATCGTTTATAGGAGCAAATCATCTTTTATTCAATACCACATAATTTCAGATGCAATTTTTATATCTACCCTTTACTAATTATTATATTTTATATAAAAATCAGGAAATACATTACAATCAGAAACAGACATGTTTTATCCATTTCACACAAAAAAAACCTAAATATAAGGAAAATTTTGTATAGGAACTAATCATCTTTTAATCAAAACCACAAAATTTGCGAGATGATATGTTTACATTAATCTTTTACTAATCCATATTTTATATTTTACGTAAAACATATTACAATCATGTGTTTTATCCATTTTGTGAAATGACTCTAGAAGTAGGTAAATTTACATAACATCCAAATAAGGAATATTTTAAGCATTAAAAATATCAATATTCAACATTAAACTTCTTATATATCAAGTCCACAAAATAATTTTATCACAAATTTTCTTTTTTTCATTCCTTTTTCCATTTATCTTCAGTATAAATGATTCTTATTTCTATAATCAAAGGGGATCGTAATACTTAATTTTCCCTAAAATGTGGCCAGTAAACTAATAATTGAAGGAGTAGATGTTGAATTCACTAATCGATGAATCATGCATTAAAAACCAATAATTCTAATATAGTGAGAACTTCATGATTAGTTATAATAATCATTTTATATCACTTACACTTATGACTTCCTCCATTTGGTTTGACTTTGAAGTAACAAATATGCAAGTCCCGGAGTCACTTGGGGTACAAACATCATCAACTGCTAAATTTTCATCCTCAACTTCGGTCTTGTCATTTGTTCCGTAACTCTCATTCACGCCCGATGTGCTAGGTGTGCAGTCATCTCCACTTGAGAAACTTTCAAATCTGAATCTAGATGAGGCATTAGCTAAATATTTTTGCCATACAGCAACTTTATTTCGTATTTCTTGGCTTCTTATCTTCTTTAAAAATCCTTGTAACTGATTCTGTATTTTATTTTGACCTAGAAAAATAATGAGTGGACCAATTCAGTAATGAGGTATATGTATTTTGACATTCGAAATTGTTATTTTAGCTACCTGAATCCATCGAAGACAAACACAAACCGTAGCAAAAGCCCCAAATCCAACTGTTTAAGATTGCATGCAAAATACATTAAAACAAGCTGATTTAGAAATAAATAAATATTACTCTACATGCTGTTAACTCTTGATTTATCTTGGTCCCAGCATATGCTATGCATTTGCTCGAACTAAAAGGTTAAAAACAACCAATCTAAAGCCATAATATGCATTAGAATCAAACAACATCCATTAATCAGATATCCTTTCTGAAATCCACACCTTGCAGAAGTACATTTTGTAAGATGTAAAGCAACCATACAGTATTTTCATTTTAGAAACTTACTTAAAAATGAATTGGGAAGGCTGACAGTTTAAAAAAAATAGACACAATTGGAGTTAAAACAAACAAAAATCACAGACACATTCAGTCTTCATATTTCACAACAGACTAGCCTTATCAGTGGACTTTCTCTTCTATTCAATAAAAACATTAAACCTGAAATGACAGATAAGAACAGTGTTGCCAGGTCGTTATCAAAATAGTTCTTCATGAAATGGTCTATCAGCCCGCATATTACATATTCGCCTCGAAATTAAAAAAAATAGACCAGTGATATTCTAAACTATTGAATAAAACCGAAAGGTGTTCTTAGATATACTTTTTAGAGAATGATGGTTGGGGGTGCGTTTCAATCACTAAATTATAAATGATTATTGTGTGCCTGCATTTTAGGAAAGAATGTAGACCTTCATCTTCATCCTAAGACGCAAATGTAATTAATAACTGTAAAGTTAATAGAAGAAAATAATAAAAATTGTGAAATTACATGAGTAAATTTGACTGAAATCTTAGTTCTCATTTCATGGGGCATAGTTTATTCATTGTTATACAGTTTTTTTTAATTTCAATTTGTCGTTTTTTATTTATAATCCCTAATATTTTATACACGTCCGATTATATCAAAATGGAGTCAGAGTATATCAAAATCATAGAAAATATGACTCAATGCCTGTAGAGGAGTATACTAAATTTTCCACTAGGTGAAATTTAAAATTAACACACTAGATTATTGTAGATGATTTTATAACATCTCATTGATCGTCATATAACATTAAAAAAAATTAAATTAGTGAATAATTTGATGAATTTTCCCTTTGTTAAATTAGTGTAAAAACTTTTGAGCTATCTATGACAGTCGATGAAAATCTCGTAATTTCTTTGTAGTAAACTTTACATTGGAAAATAACAGTTTAATAACTAATAGGCGTAGAATCCATAATCATTTATAGGTTGAATATTGAGATATACTTTAAAATCTATCTAGACAAATGCATATTGCTCAGAGACCGGAGTTATGTGGTTTACGAAAAAAGACGGGGCAGGGATGTTTTTATTGTCTACCTTTGATATAATCAATAGGATTTCTGTTATTTTAGTGATGTTAATGATCAGGAAAACTCCCATCAAAATGACGTAAATTGCGGGAATTTGCCTCGGTTTGCCTGTAGTGTGGGCCCAGGATGACGTAAATTGCGGGAATTTGCCTGTAGTGTGGGCCCAGGATGACATAAATTGCGGGAATTTGCCTCGGTTTGCCTGTAGTGTGGGCCCAGGATGACGTAAATTGCGGGAATTTGCCTCGGTTTGCCTGTAGTGTGGGCCCAGGATGACAGGGGGCAATCTTAGTATTTTGTGCCAGTAAACGACTTGTTGAGACCAAAGTAACACCTGTTTGCTGTCGTGATTGACCTCCATACCTCTTGGCCAGGCCATATCGCCTGCAAAAACTACAGACTTTAGATGCAGAAAACTGTTAATGCTTTCAAACATATATCCTTCAAGCTTAACAATAGTTGGCTTGGAGAATTGGCAATCATATATTTGGTCTTTGCAATTATTGTCAATTCTTGGACCAATTGCTAAGGTCTTTTCTAAATCCCTCCATGGTCTACTATATCATCCGCGTAGGCTAGAAATTGGAGTGACTTGGTGAGAATCGTGCTACTTCGTAGTCCCTTATCACCTCCTCGGGTGCTAGGTTAAAGAGCAGGCATGATATGCCATCTCCTTGCCTCGGGCCCCTTCTCGACAGGCCCCCCTGTATTTTGACCTGGAACCTCCATCCTGTCATCAGCAGCTCTGTTAGGTGGACCAATTCAATGAGGAAATTAATTGTTTTCATAGGCTTATACATCTCTCTAATGGCATTATCGTATGCACTGCTAAAGTCTAAGAACAGGTGGAGTGTAATGACGATGCATTCTTGTTCTCTTTTATATTTCAAAACAAAAATTTGATTAGTCGTAGACCAACCTTGCTGTAGTTGATTCTCCCGTACTGTTTAAGAGATATATTAGGGGTGGGATGACTGAGTGAGCTAACAGGTGTTTCCCGGCAACCCGACAACCTGACATTTTAGCTCTGGCAATACTCTCCCCTGGCCCGGAAAAAATACTGTATATCCGAAAAAGATGAGGAAGGGGAGACAAAGAAAAAAAAAAAAAAGGGAGACGTATCAAATCAAACAAAATCCAAGTACTACTTAATATAAAAAGATTAAGAATAAGAAATACATTTTTAAAAATTGGGGGAGAAGACCTCATTGCCTGGGGGAAGAGGGGGAGGGTGCCAAATGTCTGTGGCCAACACTGTGTGGCTGAAAGAAAAAATGGCTGAGATGAGCAGATGAGGTCCAAGCCCACGCTTCTGAACATGAGAGCTTGGCAGCCCTGGTGTAAAACAAAGTTGAATGGAGGTGATATCTTCATGTGGACAAGGCCCTTACTGTATTGTATTGTCTATTCTTTTGACAGTCTTGTTATTGTTTTATGGAACATTTGATACATTTTCCTGTTAATTCAGATACTAGTAATTAAATAGTTAAATTTTAATAGTTTTGGAGAACTGTTTGTTTATAATTTTCAATCCAAATATAAATTTTCCACTTTTAGGTCAATATGTACCACCAGTGGCCCAGAGACCTTGGGTTTTCAAGCAGGATAGGAATAATATGAAATCAGCTGCTTTGAGGAGGCAAGAAAATCTTCAGCAGCAAATGAGAAATCTGACAAAAGAAGAAGTTAAGAAATGGAAGAAGAGGCGCCAAACGAGGGTGAAATCTTTGCACAACAAGTTGGAAAAATTAGGTGTGGACTATGAATTTCAGGTAGGATGAATATCAGATTTATATCTTTGAAATATTTTTTTAAAAAATTGTTATTATTTTTCTTTTAAAAGTTAAATCAATCTAATTTAATGCTTCCAAACAGATGGTTCGTGGATGATGCCTAAATAGTGAGGGGTCATTGAGAATTATTTTGCAAATTTAATGAATATATGAAAAAATATTAAATATATATTCCAAGCAGTTGCTTGTGATAAGAATCAATTTATCCAGACTCATTTAAAATTTCCATTTGTCTTGATTAAGCAAGGTTCCATAAAATGACAGAGTTAACAAAAATTTTACTCAGATTTGTGACTTTATAGTTGCAAAACACGGCTGCAATTCAGCATTTTCAATTGCTGAGATTGGTAGTTTCATTTTGATCTCTCTCCCAACTAATATATAAATAATTTTATTTGATTTAATATGATAAATGGGAAAAAAAAAAAATAATAAGGATATTTAACACCATTTGGAGGAATGACCAATTTTCTTCTTTTGTTACAGGTCAATGAAACAGATGAAAATGTAGTACAAGAAGAAAAGAAAGAGGAACAGTAATATGTGATAATATGAAAACAATATTGGATGTAAATACATTTTATTATAAAATATGTATATAAACATAAACTTTTGTATTTTATTTACCTGATAATTTAAAATTCCCATTCATTGATTTCTTATTTTTGTGTAGTTAATACTATTAAGTTAATCATTCAGAAGGTTAATAAATATGTTATTAGTTATTTTCAAAATTCTTTAGTTATGATTTATTTGCACTTTGTATTTCATTAAATGTAATGCAACTAAAAAAAAATAAATAAGTATAAATTTAGGAAGATGACTAATTGATTAATTTTATTTAATCTCCTGAAACCTATGTGAATTTATTTCTTATTAAAAAAGTTTTAAATTTGGTTAAAAGTACACACAGTACTTAGAAACGTATAGCATTTGATAATTAGAATCAAGCTACTTATGGACTTGGAAGCTTACTAATACAGTACAGGGTGGTTAGTGGCGGCCTGGAAAAATGGGAAAAGTCAGAGAATTTACAAAACAGAAAAATTATTAAACTCAAGGAATTAGTTCAGTATATAAAAATTGTTTTCAGATTGGAAATAAATATACAGTTGCTATCGTTTATAACAACCCTGAAGGGGTAAAGTTTGTCGTTATAAACGACCGCAATCGCTATATCCATCTACCTCTGACTGTTAATAACGACACTGCTCGTTATGAAATCAAACAAGGTTAATGAATAAAATTTAAGCAAAATGGACTTAAAACATTTTAATTGAGAAAAATTACAGCTTTATATATCATGTATAAACTTTTACTTGCTGTCAGTTTATGAAAATAAAATGAAGGTAATAAGAATAAATTAATAAAAGTTGAGTTTTCTAAAATAAAATAAAAAATCCTAATCAAGCTTAAAAAATGCTTCTCCTAAAACATATTTGTTATTTAAAATACTGATTTTTTTGTTTACCTAAATCATTTTGTTTCACGTATAATAAATAAATTCAGATATAAAATATACATTTTTAATATTTGTGTCCCCAGACATATTGGTCAGGGAAAACTGTCATTAAATAAGGAAAATCAGGGAATTTTACTTTAAATGTCTGTTTACCCCTCTAATAGTACTATTACTGTTCAATGATGATTGTGTTACAACTTATAATAAGTTAATTTAATTGGAACATTTTTCAATGTAGAAAAAATCTGAATATAGACACAATATACGTACACAAACATTTGAACATCAGACCTACAAAATATGATTCAAAACTAAATACAATTTGTCAGATATTTTCTCCATTAAAACATATTTAATGGTGGAGAAATAGTTGACTCTTGATTCTTCTTATTAAGAAGTTGGTTGGAGATTGTAATCATGGAAGTAGGCAAAAATAAATTATATTTATTTTATTTATACCTAAGTTTCAGGGCTGCTCTTTTGATGGATATTGGAGGAATAGCCTTAATCTTAGGGTTAACCAAAAATCGTGGTCCACAAGGCCACTCTGCTGAATCCCTTTGAAGGAGCAGCCCTGATGAAGCAAAGAAAATAAATATAATTTATCTTTGTGTACTTCTGTGATTGCAATCCCCAACCGACTTTTCTTATATGTGTATATAATCTATACTCAAGAGATATAGAGAGGCCTTTTGTCAACTAAGCCCAAGTCCAGGGCCCATTAATTCAGCGGTTCCAGCCCCACAGATTATTATTTGATGTATTTTATTCTTGCTAATAATAATATGGATAAGGATATTAAGACAAACATTTACTAATACATTAAATAAAGAGTTAGTACTGATAGTATATTTTAATGATAACTACATGAGTAAAGTGACGATAAATATACTAATAGAGCTTAGATTACTTTTTTAAAAAATACACTATAAAAGTTGAAATTTAATGCTTCTATTCTATACACCCATACTTAATTGATAACATTTATTTTTTTAATAAGCCATTAAGAATATACTTATTTGTAAATTACAGTACATTGTAAAAGTATGATGGAAGTAAGCAATATTGTTCCTGATTCATTATAGATTGAAATTTTTTTATTTGTTGCATAAACTTTTTAACTGTGTACATTTTTTAGTCAACTCTTACAAGACCATAAGTATTTTAACACCAATCCATTTTTGACGTACCTGAGTTTATATCATTCTGATTTCCCTAACTTTACAGGAGGGCAACTCAAAAGGTGTGTCTATCGTGTAGTGAATAAAAGTGGACTTGAAAGTTTAATTTTAAAACTCTCTTGTCAGTCACTCTAGGATGTCAAATATATAAAAATGTTAAATAGCACTTTGCACTAACGGATCCAGGATTTAATTTTGGGGGGCTTCAGCTGGAAAGATCTTTATTTGTATAAATATATTAGGATAATTACATCGGAAGAAAGGAACTATATAAAATGGTCTTTAAGTAATTCTTTAAGTCCTATTATCTGTAATTAGACAAAAAATAATACTTTAAGAGATAATTTTTTCATAAAACATGGTTTTATTTCACCATTTTGGACAGAACTTCAGCCCGAAAGCCTCCCCCTCCTTTCTTGTGAGCAGTTTGTAATAACCCTAAATTGGTATCAATTGAATAATGTGTCTTAAAGGTACAAATACTTTACTGCTGAACAATTAAGCATCAATTATTAATTACAACTTTACTATGTACAAATTGGATATTATTTTTCTTTAATTAGATGAATTTCATTTCTTATTCATCTTAGTTAATGTATCAACAGTATTTGTACTAGTTGACTGAACTATACTCACTAGAAACCTCAGCGTAATTAAAAATATTAATTTTGAAAAATTGAGTATTTATTTGACCGCACCCCTCGACCAATTTCTTCTCAAATTTTATTTTTTAATTGTAGATAAGTAATAGAAACGCCACAAAGGTATTTAATACTAGCTTTGATTGGACGAATGGTACATTGACTACCGAAGCAAACAAAGTCAGACTCAAAGTACATTAAATGATCAGTCCACAATTAATTTTTTAGTTTGCAGAGTGTTTATATTTAACTGATAATACATATATTTTCATTACCAGCAATTGTTCCATCATTTTAAATTTAAGCTTTGATAATCCCAACAGGATATTCAATTTCATTGTTCAGATTATTAAGAGAGTCCAGCACTAATTGTAAGATATAAACAAATATACATCAGGTATGCCTTTTAGATATTTAGATGGTTTGCCTTTTAGACATTTTGAAATTTTATTTTTGTCTTTATAACATTTTTTCAAAATTTCAATATCTATGTAACAAAATATCGAAATACAACCATTGGTCAAAAATATAGATATTTCAATATTTTTCTAACTTACCTTACAGAAGGCAGTTAAATCTTCTTATTAAATTAATATAATTTTATGCACTTTCCTAAAAAAATTACCAAGAGAAATTTGAATATCATACAAACCAAATAAGTTAAACTTGAAATAAGAAAGGAAAAACAATAAAATAGGATAAATAACAAATAATAAAATAGGATAAATAACAACACATTTACATTTATTTTATTTCAAACAGGCTACAGGTTATTTATGTTAAGATACAAAGTTGTGTACAATCAATTTGATAAAACATTTTTTCTTTTTTCATTATTTTACAAAAAATCATTCAACGACAAATTGATCGCATATTCTTCATTAACAAAAATATATTATGTATGATCTTGCATAAACAATAAAATGTGTGGGCAAAATATTTTTTAACATTTGATAATAATAGAAGGATAAAAAAAAAAATAAATATATCAAGAGTTTTCTTCTTTCCCCTTTCCACACAAATAAAAAAAAAAAAAAAAGAAAAAAATGTATATATACTCGGGACATTCTTTTATTAAAAATCTAAACACAAATGTTGTAGTAGAGCATATTAAAGGTTTCTACCTTCCCGAAATAAACAATCATTATGCAGCAGGGAAGTACTCTTGAAAATCCCAAAAACGCTTCTTTGCTTACATCATCCAGTCTCAGAGAGTAAATATATATATAAAGATATATATCACTAGTTCAGAACTCATAGTGTAAAAATATCACAATATATGACACTTGCTAATAGGTAACCGCCTCACCAACTAGCATTAAATAATAAAATACAATTAATAATTATAGGATAATTAATTTAAATTATACTATTACGTTTGATTTACAATTCTCTCCTAACCACTATGTTAAAAATTAGGAGTCGGCCCCAATCCCATGAAATTTTCAAAAAAACATAAAACTTTCTTGGATTAAGAAAAAAAAAAACAGAATAATAAAAGTTTACTTACATCTAATCGAGTTTCATTACATTTTTATATTTTTCAATGACCTTAAGAAATCCTCAATTCCTGTAATATGGCAACCTGGAATGTGATATCAAAATAGTTTTCATCTGATACAAAACCAGCTGCTATTTTGTAACTTATCGTTCACAATTATATCAATTTCCTGTTAGTTAAATTCAAATAATCTACAAACAGCAATCAAATTCTCTCAACAACAAACATTTCACAAAAATCAATGACACTAATGTATATGTGTTCAAATTCAGAACAAATGCTAAAAACTATTGTAATCTATTTTGAGATCAGCAGTTATTCTCTACTAATTTTACATCCAATTGAATAGTTACTTCATTATATATATAGTTTCAGCTTAACAGTTTAACAATATTATCTTAAGTAATACAACTAGATAATAAATAACAAATAGAAATTAAATACAAATATAGCTTCGTAATTATTATTATGAGCTGTTTTGAGTTTATAGAAATGTTTTGATGGCACAACGACTTGATATAATAATAAATATGGACATTTGTATATGACACATTGTTTTTATGAAAATGGTTTTTCTGTAAAAACCAAATCAATAAGACCAATTAATTCCATTGATCCAGATAAAAATGTGTTTTGATTTACATTAATTTTTCGATGAATCTTGGTTTAAATGTAAATGACTAGTTAATAGAAGTAGAGAATAACTACGACGGATGAAAAGCACTGGTATGCATCAGACATACCGACCCATCACG